AGAGAGAGAGAGAGAGAGAGAGAGAGAGAGAGAGAAAGAACAGAAATGAATAGTCAAGGGAGAGGCAGGAGGAGGAGAAGATGACCGCTAATGAGGCAGAAGAGAAAGAAAGGAGAGTGGGGAGGGACGACTCGGTGTCTGGGGAGCTTGGAGGAAAGCCACCAACATAGACTATTTCCCCTCGATGGCCGGCTGAGCCGTCACTGGCCAAGCCTCGCCTGCCGGTGCCCCTCACTCACCTGCACACCTGCACCTTGGGCCTTCTCCCTCTGGCATCCAAGGTGCTCCCCCTTGTTCCAACTGGGAGATCACGTCGGGTTTGGACACGGCAAGCCCTGCTCATTGGAAGCAGGAAAGTGCTGCAGTCAGAGACAACTCAGAATGTGATACTAACCCTTTGATCTGCCGGGAACAGTGGGCATGACTCACAGAATGAACTTGGGCTCAGAAATAAAATTATTCATCGGACCCATCCCTGGTAAGGGCATAGACATCCACTACCTTCAAATATCTGCCCTGGGACTTTAGGAAAACATCTCTGACGTGAAGGAACCAAGATGAGAAGAGGTGCAAGCTATCTCAGAGTCAACACAAATCGAGCCAGCAACTCGCTGGCGCATGAAGCTCGGACTTCTGCCCTGGGAACAAGCCCCAGCCAAAGCACAGACCCTGAGTCTCAGGAGCCCTCCTTACCCAGGCACACCAGGTTCCTGTAGTTCTCCAGAGTCACGTCCTTGTACAGCTCCTTCTGAAAAGCATTCAGGTGCCTCCATTCCTCCCAAGTGAAGTCCACGGCCACATCCTTGAAGGTCACTGACTCCTGAAGGCAGATACAAACCTGTATTTACCCAGAGACCCCCCCTTCCACACCCCCATCAAGAATCAGAAAGGGCGGATCTCACACCTCCTGGATCTCACTTTGTACCAGATCTGGAATCACGTCACAAGTGGATGACAGTATTTCCATGGGCCTGTGTACACTGAATGTGAGCAGGGCCCTCCCGGCTGTGGGATTCTTCTCCGTGTTCTCTTGCAAACTGGACACCCTTCGTTCTTACACTCCCTCTGAGGCGGGCCGGGCAGGCTGGGCCACCCCAGCTCCACTCTGCTCTCTGCACCGAGGGCATGATCCAAGCACTCCATCAGCCAGCCCTCCCCCCAGGATGGACCATAGTCCCTGTGCAGGGCATCCAGGAGGTCAGAACTATTTCTACAATAAACCAAGACATTATCCACGTGTTTTCCAACTCCGTATCTGGGTGTGGCTGGATTTTCTTCATGGACTTCACCCAAAACAACATGAGGACAGAACAATGCAGAAGCAGATGGAGAACCCAGCTAGTCTCCATTTAGACCATAAAGAGTTGTAAAGATAATGTAAAACAATGCCACCCTTCTGACCAAATTTATTTGTTTTGGAAAATATGGTTATTTTCATAAATATATTATTTATGTTAACATGTAACTGCTTTCTTGCTATTTTAAATAAATTAATATTTTAAAATATCAGTTTTAATTTCTATTAAGGTAACTATGGGGCGGCTAGGGTGCGCCACAGCGCACGGGGAGTCAGGAGGACCTGAGTTCAAATTCGGCTTCAGACACTTACTAGCTGTGTGACCCTGTGCAAGTCACTTCGCCCTGTTTGCCTCAGTTTCCTCATCTGTAAAATGAGCTGGAGAAGGACATGGCAAATCACTCCAGCGTCTCTGCCAAGAAAACCCCACACGGGGTCATGGCGATTTGGACACAAGTGAAAACGACTGACCAACAACAGACACACGATCTGCCTGCCCTGGTGCTCACAACCTCCCCCACCCTTCCCCTCCCCGGCCTCAGTTTCCCCCGCCGGACACTGGCTGCCCCTCACCTGGGGGGCCCGGGCTGCCGGGTGCACTGGGCCCACCATCTCCCGCTGCTGCTCCAGGTCCGGCGGATCTGGGGAGACAAAGGGCAGCGCTCGCACCCGCAGCCCCCCACCCCAGGTCGGCATCTCTCGGGAGCCTCTGCCCGGTCTCGGAGGGGAATGGGGGGGCGGGGCAGCTCAGCCTGGGGAGAGAGTAGAGGAAAGCTTCCTGGAAGACAGCCTTAGCACCCCCACCCCACCCCCCAGAAGCATGCTCCGCCCCTGCCCCGGGCCCACACCGCTGATTGGCTCCAAGGCCGCGCCCCCGCCCGGCCTGACCAATTGGAGCCTGCGCTCGCGCAGGAGGCGGGGCGCGGAGGCCGCCTGCACATGCGCAGATTTCCCCTCCGCCGGCCCTCCGGCCCCTCGGGGTTCTCTCGGGTCTCTTCCCGTCCCGCGGTCCCCGGGCGCTCCGCCCCTCTGCCCACCGTCCTCCGGAGCTCACTCACCCCGGAGCAGGACGGACACGGGGCTCAGAGCTCCGGCAGTGGCTGAAGGAGCGGAGCCGAGAAGGCCGCGGACCCACAGGGCCTAGGAGGCTGGCAGCAGCGCCACGGCAGGGGAGGGGAGGGGCGGGAGCGGAAGCGGATGTGACGTCGCAGAGAGGGGGCCGAGCCTCCGCCTCGCGTCTTGCCGTTTCCATGAGAACGGCTGGAGAGAAATTTACACAGCTGCGCGTGCGCAGTGGCCCTACCCCACACTGCGTGATCTCTCAGAAGGCCACCCACGTGTCCAGCACGTGCAGTCCCGGTGGGGGCCTCCCCCCGTGGTGTGTGCACTTATTACACACATACGTACACACACATGCACATACGTGGCGGTTTGCCCGAGCAGATCTTCAGCGCAATGGTGCCGATATCAAATGGAATGGAGAGCTTTAAACCGTCTGTAATCATCCCTGCGAGTGCATTCTAACTTATATAACCACATATGAATATTATTGGGTTCTACCGTGTTTTTATTTATTTTGTTAAATATCATCATTTACATCGGAGTCTGGTTCGGGCTGCACTCGAGCGTGTTGAGGGCTGCATGCTCCTGCTTGACACCTACAGTGTAGAGAAGTTAATAGCAAAAAAATAAATAAATACATAATAAAAATTAAAAACCAGATAAATAAAAATAAAAAATTCTAAGGATTAAGGACTGACTTCTCATAAGGACAAGTATAGGAGCAGTGATCTGCAGTGATTGTGTGATGTTTATATTTCTGCCCTGGTGAAGTGACTGCTGTCTAAGGCTCAAAGTGCAACCTAATCTCTCTCCTTCAAAAGAAGTGACTGGACCTAGAAAATCATCTTCATAGCATTTATAGGGCTCTTTGAGATTTACACAACACTTTACCAATGTTATCTCATCTGATCTTCACAACCCTGGAGGTGGATATTATTACTACCTCCATTTAGAAATGAGGAAACTGAGGCTAAGAAAAGTCAAGTCACTTACCCAGGGTCACACAGCTAGTGTCTGAGTCCAAATTTGAACTCGGGTCTTTCTGACTCCAGGTCTAGTGCTCTATCCATAGCATTACTTACATGTAAACTAGCAGAACACACTGAAGTGTTCTTTTTTAAAAATGGAAGAAGTTTCTGAATGTGAAAGAAGAAAAAGAATCAGAAGTGATAGAGGGAAATCCTGACCTATATGAGTGGCTTATGGGGTGGAAGAATGTCACACACACACACAAAAAAAGGAAACAGAAGTAGAACCACATGGCCCCAAATGCCAGTAGTGCACCAAGTAAGAGAAGCCAGAGCTCCTAACGCAGGGAGGCAAATGGCCCTGTGGGTCCTCGGCCAATGAGAGGAGAGGAAAGGACTGGGGCGGGGGGAGAGAGGGAAGAGAGGAAAATAAAGGATGAGGAGAGGAGAGGAGGTAGCGTAAAGAAAGGGAAGGGAGAGGAGAGGTTGGCCTGCAGAAGGCACGACAGTTTCCAGCCCTCAGGGAGACTCTAATAGTGATCTGACAGACACAGGCATACTCTGAAGCAATCCAACCCTTCCATCGTCCTCGCTCAAAGGCTTGCTCTTCACCTTAAATCCGTTCCTCTCCACTCCCTCCACCTTCCTGTAGTCACTAACACCTGAGTCCCTCCTCATGACGCCTCCTCCCCGGCTCCCCTTTCCAGCACTGTTTGCACTTCTGGTCGCTCCCTGGACTCTCTGATCAAGGTGGGAGAGTTGGAATACTCCTTGCTCCCCATTGCCACTTCAAGGCTGTCTTCTGCCTCAGTCGCCCAGTAGTAGCCTTCCTTTGAAGTTCATTCAGTCCACATCTGCCACTCCATCAAGCTTCCGGTGGCTGTTACACCAACTCCTGGGACACGTTTCTTCTTTCCTCAGTGAGTCAGTGCCTGGCTCATAATCTTTCTCTCCTCCGCAACGCCTGCCCTCATGCTCGGGGACATAAAAGACATGCTGATACTCCCTCAAACAACCTAACCTCCCAGTTCCTCACCTTACCCATTTTCCACGACCTCCTCCCCCACCCACCTCGCCTACGCAGAAAGATGGTCACATCTGTGATCTTGCTATCAGCTACAAATGCACTGCTTCCATGTGTGTGAACTCTGAGATTCTCGTATCTGATCAGAATCAGTTGTGATTTGACCACTTGCTCTGCGTCAGAACTCTTTTTCATCAGTGTGACGTCCAATCCCTCAGGCTGAGTCCTTTTCCAAGCTCTCCTCCCTTCCCCCATCTTGATCAACTCTACACTCTCCTTTCTCAGTCCCTTGCCCCCCTTCTATCGCTGATCTTGCCTGGTCGAGCCCGAACCTTGGATGACCCCTTCATCCATTGCCTTTGCCTCTACACATGGGCTGCGGAAGGAGGACAAAGAACATCACGAAACTGCGCTGACTGCCTATGCTACAATTTCATGTCACATAATCTCAATTGGGCCTTCGCCACTGTAAGGCTGTCCTTTTAATTCACTCATTATCCCACTCACTACAGTGGCTCCTCCAAAGCTTTTCATCCCTCCTCAAACCTTCCATGGATCCCCCTTCCCCTACATTCTCAGGTGAGAGCCCTGCCTCATATTTTACTGAAAAAATTAAGACCCTTTGCTGAGAACTTCCTTTTCTCCTCTCCTCACGTCACATCTCCCAGACGCCTTCTGCCGTTATTTTCTCCTTCACCTCTGTCTACATGCACGTGATCCCATTCCGTCTCATCTCCTGCAGATTGTCCGGTATCATCTCTACTCTGACTTACCTTCAATTTCTCTGTCTTCTGGTTGCTTCCCTACTGCCTACAAACATACTCATGCTTGTGCGTTGTCCTCAAAGAATCCTCATATGATCCATCCACCCCGTTATCATCATCTATCCCTCCCTGTTTGGTAACCGAATTTCTTAAGAAGGTCAAATACAAAAGGTGCTTCGATTCTTTTTTAACTCTCTGCAATATGGCTGCCAACCTCATCATCCAACCAAAACTGATTTCTCCAAAGTTACCAATGACCTCTTGATTGCCAGATGTGACGACCTTTCCTCAATCCTCATCATCCTTGACCTTTCTCTGCCGTGCTTGTCACTGCTGATTCTCCTGCCCTTTTCCTGACATCCACTTCTCTCTAGGTTTCGGTGACACTGCTCTATCCTGGTTCTCCTCCTACCTATCCTACTGCTACTTCTCAGTCTCCTTTGCTGGATCTTAATCCAATTCACATCCAATAACTGTGGGTATCCCACAAGGCTCTCCCCATGGGCACTCTTCTCCTTCTATACCGCTCAACTCAGTGATTTCATCATCTCAAGTGGATTCAATTATTATCTCTACCCTGATGATTTTCAAATCTACTTATCCAGCCCTAAATTCTTGGCTGATCCCCAGTTTCTTATCTCCAACTGCCCATTGGACATCTCAACCACATGTTCTTAAACTCAACATGTCAAAAACTGAACTTAATATCTTTCACCCCAAATCCTCCCTTCTTCCTAGCTTTCCTATTACAGTGGAGGATACCACCTTCCTCCTGGTACCACACAATCACAACCTATGTCATCCTTGACTCCTGTCTCCTCCATACCCAACTGTTGCTAAATATTGTTTGAATTCACCTTCCTAACATATGCCCTCTTCTCTCCCTGGTGCTGTTACCACCCTGGTAGAGGCCCTCATCACCTCATACTTGGACTATTGCAATAGCCTCTTAGTTGATCTCTCTACCTCAGATCCCTCCCCTCTCTAGTCCATGATCTACTCTGCTACCAAAGTGATCTTTCTAAAGTGCAGGTCTCCTTCATTCAATAAACCCTTGTGGCTCACTATTACCTACAAGATCAAACAAAAAAAATCTTCATTTTAAACCCCTTAATGCCCCAACCCCTTCCTACCTTTGCAGTCTTCTGACACCTTATTCCCCTCCATCACTTTACAGACTTCCTTGTTATGCCTCAAACAAGTCACTTTCTATCCCAACTCCAACATTCTCATCACTGACTCCTAACTTCTCTGGCTTTCTTCAAGCAAAATTCCATCTTCTACA